CTACTTATAGAACACCATATCTGATAGAAGACTAGCCTATCAAACTATCTTTAACCAAAAGTAAGCTATCTTACCATCTCAATAGTTAGACATCCCCGAGTTAAGACAGCTTAGGGTACTCCTACTCTGAGGACGCATGCGTCATGGACAGCAAATGGGGCTGCCGTTGATTGGGCCAACACTTAACCTCCGCTGCCGAGCGAGCGCCACAAAACGAGGCAGCGAGCCGAAGCAGCGCGAAATCCGAGGCAGATTCCCACTGACTGGAGAAGAACGCCCCCATTGGCAGCCTCCATTTTGGAGGTGGGGGTTGAAGAGCAGGAGGTGGGCTCGGCTAGCATGCAAATGAGGCAAACAAATGTGCACAAATGTTGAACAAATCAAACAAACGGACCGGACCGCTGCGAAGGAGAACCGAATGTATACAGACAAAAAACGGCAAACAATAAATACATTTGAAACAATCGGGCGGACGGACGATTTGGCCCCTCACCTCGCATTGTGCTGTCAGATTTTATTTCCATTTTCTCGCCAGAAAGGAAAACTTGCAGTTGCATACGCTCCACACACAGCTGGAAAATTGAAATGGAAAAGTTGTGGAGCGATGGGAAACATTTTGGGCACAGGAAATTGATTATTATTTATGATTACAAGGCCTCTTGCCCCCAGCCCCCTTTCCGTTGCTTTCCTTTCATTTCCTAGTAGAACATACGTGAGAATCGGAGTGCAGAAGTTCCCCAAAAAAACAAAGGGCAGAAACGAATCTTTGAGATACAGTAACAGTGGCATGTTCGGGAGATAAGATGCAATTAAGAGGGAGAACCCAGAACGAGAACCATGCTGGTGGCTCTCAAGTGGGCTCTCCTCATGATTACAGACATGAGGCTGGCGCATGCAGCTCAAGTGGTTTTCCATTTTCCAGCTAAAAGGACATGGGAACTTTCCTGCCGATACTCGTTCATGCATCCGTCGAGTTTAAAATGTGGCATGTCCTTTATGAAACCCGATACTTTCCTCCATAACTCGGCAAGGAGAAAGCAAAGTACGAACCTGAGACGTGGGCGAGCTCCTTACCTGCCAGAAGGTCTCTCAAAAATATGACGAAAATATGTTTTTTTAAGGGCCAGACACTCGACTCGACTCGGCTTGACAATGGGAAATGTCGCGATCCTCGACTGGCCACTTAGCCGGTTCCTGTTTCGCTGGAACTTCAATCCCAGGACAGGATGCTAAGGCTCTTGCTTTCATTTCTTTCAAGTTTCTGATGGAAAACCCATTTCATTATAAACCCAGCTGTGAGCAGTTGCTTGTTATTATTTATTTTTACGGTCTTATCAACCGATAAGCTGCCGTGAATCATGCAACTGCAAAAAGCGCTTTCGCTGCTCCAAAAATAATCTCCACCTCACCTTTTCCTGAACATTAATTATCAAATTAAAGTGAACCTTGTTCACGGTCACGTCTGTCGATCGTATAGTGGCCATAATATGTTCTAGTTTACTCTCTGAATTAAACTAAGTAATTTATGTTAATGCATTGCCAGCCCATCAGCAACTTACATCGCTCAACTCCCAAGAGACCGAACCAGTTCTGTAAACTGATGACATTTTCGTCAGTGATTCTCAGCCGAACAAGCCCTACACTTGGCGAAACAAACATTTACTATCAGCAGAAGCAAAAGTTATTATACAAAATTATACTAATAATCTGGCATTAATTACCCACTTCAAAATAATAAAACAACAACTTACAAGGAAACATTTTTAAGTATCTCGTTAATATATATATTTTATATAGCCAGCCAATAAACAAATCTAAGCAACAATTTGAGGTAACGAAAACCTCTCGACCTCCGAACCCTTGTAACGAGCATTTAACGGCGACCGATTTGGCCATATACCTTCGAAAACAAGGCTGCAACTGCAACGAGCCAAACTTATAATTTATAAGCTGGTTTCCTTGTTCCGAGCGCAAAACACCTGCACAGGTCGCCTCTGCCCCTCTCCCTTCCTCAGCCAGTCGCCGTCTCGTTCTGTGTTGCGCATGCGCAGCCAAGTACTTCTACTTTTTTCCAGCCTTTGCTTGGTGGCTCTTATTTAGCTGGCCTGTCTCTTTTTTTTACTTTTTTGCATGAAATAAAATCTCACGGTTCAGATGCGTACAGAGTTGGCAAAAAAAAAAAGGGAAGACGAAGAGCAAGAGGGGGAGCAGGTGGTAGGAAGTCTGGCAAAAACAAAACAAAAACCCAGCAAAACCAGCCATAAGTCGGTCGCAGAGGGGAGACATGCATGTGGGTTTGTTTTTCTCTTTATTTTTTTCATTTTTTGCAAGAAAGACGTAAAGAGCCAAACTGGTTTCTTCTGCAAGCTTACGAGACTCCACGACAGCAATAGAACTGAGCTGAAAATTTGAATAAACACCGCTGCATCGCCAAAAGTTGTTGTCCTTTTTAACGAGCCAATCCGACGTATCTGTATCTGTATCTGTACTTCATTCATATTTCGAGATGCTTAATGGGCTCTACCTGGTACCCACACACAGGTAACCAACAGGTAGGTAGAAAGGTCCATGGCTGTCTCTGTGTGTGTTTGCACTGCTCATGGGAAATCACTGCTCACGGGAAACCTGTTGTCTGTTGTTGTTGTTGCAGCCAGAGAACCCTATGACCAGAGAGGAAGAAAGAAGCGAGAAAGAAGCCTCTGCTGATTCTGAATCTGAACAGATGCACGATAAGCGGAGGGATCGAGAGATACACTTCCTCTCGGCAGCTCGACTCAGCGTCTTGCTGAATGAATCGAATCCCTTTTATCAATCTTTGTCTAGAGCCCCCTTTGTCCCGCACCCATGAATGATGCCTCAGAGGAGAGCACCTTGCCATTTCATCGGTATCTGCCGCTTTGCTATCAATGCAGATACAAACAAGAGTGTCTCATGCTGATACGTAGAAATAGGCCCGGTTATTGTTGTTTCACTGGAGGGAAATACAGTCCATCATCTGCCCTATATACATATCACTTCTGTGCGAATCTCCATTTTATTTTATCTTTAAAACAATCTTACTCTTTAAAGTATCTACTCTCCATGACTAGTTCTTAATCCTCCTTAGTACATTCCTTACTAACTTATGACACTATTAAAGTTCCAGTTATTTATTTTTCAATATTTTGTAAGAAATGCCTTTCAAAGTTAGGTAAAACTCAGATACATTTCTTGAATTACCATTTCTGTGACTTGAATTTCCACAACTTGCAATTTTCATGGGACTTTTTTCGTTAGCATTAAAATTCTTGAAAATAAATTTATGTTTACTCTACGTCTGCCTTTTGGCGGTTCGAGTTACAGAAGCTCGACTGTAAGGGGCAGAACAGCTTACCTTTCATATTGCCGTTATCCACATAGCCGGCATTGCTGACCGATGCGGTGGTGGTGGCCGCCAAGCAGAAGAGGACCAGCGCCGCCAACAAAGAGGAGACGATGCTCCTCCACGATATCCTCGTACTCATGGTGATAATCCCGATTCCGGAGCGATTTGCTTATTTTCACCAACTGTACAAACACGCGAATCGCAGCAGATTTGTTTGTTTGTTTACTTTGAAATGCTTTTAGACGGGGTGGTGCTGTGGGGTGGGGTTTGTGGGTGGTAATGGTGGTGCCTAGTCAAGCGTGGCCGACGCTCCGCCTTGCCCCATCTCAAAAAGCCAGACTTTGGCCGGCGCGTAATAACGAATTTTCTACTTCACTTTCTGACCCGCTATTGGAGTTTTTTTTGCTAACTTTTTCACTCGCGAAATGAGCGTGCAAAATGTAATGTGGCAAAAAACAAATACGCGAACGATCGCGCGGGGGCGTTTATAAAAAAGCTGGACCGAGTGCGAAACAAACTTGGCGATCACTTACACTCACTAATACACTCAGGCGCACACTGTTGGCCAAAAGCTTTGGCTTTGTTTTACAAGAAACACAATTGTGTTTCTCTTATAACTGCACTGGATTATTTATATTTTTATTATTTTATAGAACTATTCTAATTTGTTAAATTTTTATTTGAAATATTTTGCAATTGGTACTGATATTATTCCCGGCGACAACTGCCACAGCGATGTTTACGGTATCCAATGGTATTGCTGAATGAAAACTCGACACACGGGCAGCGCGATTTGAAAACTGTCTTACAGAGCGGCTTTTGCAGCATGCTTATATAGCCTTTTGCAGTAGCGTTAAAGAACCGCTTTTACCGCTCCCAACCGGTTCGCTCACTGTTAAATTTTCTCACAGAACTGTTAACTAACAGTAGACTGTGCAAGCCAATTGTATAGATTCTAGGTGAAATTATTAACAGCAGGATCACATCTCTAAATACTAAAACACGAAAAAAATATACCAAAACCAATTGGTGCAGAACATAGCTAGATGCTTAGCGGTGCTTAAAACCTACTTTTGATCCACATTTTAAATAACGGAGACTATCAACTCTCGTATGTATTTGAACTTTGATGATCGTAATCTCAGGTCAATCCGATTATGCGTATGTGCAACATATGGTAATTAAGCAGAGATATCACAAAATGTAACTTTGCAGAAAAGTGCGATTGGGAGAAAACGAGACACGGTAACCCGGGAAAGATTGCTCTTTGGGTGTTTGCATACCGCTCTTGCTTTGAGATGGATGTCGATATGAAAATGGCCCACAGAAACTATAGACTATAAGAATAACTAAAAAACGATATCAGATTTCAGAAATTTATTCTTTCTCTCATTGTATTTTGGCAACATATATGGTACATACGTAAACATAGCATACAATGATTCGTCTTTATGGAATTTAAGAGTTAAACTTTTTCGCTGAGATAACATTCCAATGGTGGATAAGGCCAATCGGGAAAAGCCGAAAGAAACTAATGGGAACATTTTCTGAAATAAAAAAAGCGGAAGCACTCATATATAGCGTATTTGTTTTAACGCCTGATCTCATTATCAGTGCCACCAAAAAATTTTGAGCCAGTATGAAATGCATATCGGTTCATTTCTCGAAACACCATGAATGGGACTAGTCGAATTTTAATAGCTCTAGTGGCATGCATTTTGGTTGCGACTGAAGATGCTTCGGGAAGACTGTTGGACAACAACTGTGCGACAATAGACCCAAACCCAATATATGTGAAAATCGATGGTGGTAAAGATGCCGACATCTTTTCTAATCCATGGATGGTTCGTGTAATGGTAAATTGCACAGCAATTTGTGGCGGCTCTCTTATCACATCTCGTAAGTATTTAAATTTTACTACCAATTTACTTCTAGTATAGTTTTAACGTCCGCTTTCAATTGCAGGATTTGTACTCACGGCAGGGCATTGCGTATCTACCTCTCATATGTAAGTTTAGAATGCATTATTTTGCCAGATTTTCCTCAGCTTTCCTTTGCAGGCAAGTGCGCTTGGGCGAATTTGACACGCGGTATCCATCAAAAGAACGGGCCTTTACTCTTGATGTTGATAAGAAAATTGTACACAGGAATTATAGAAAAAACTCGCATGATATAGGGCTGCTTCGATTGATTCAGACTGTCATGTTCTCAGGTAATTGTGTTCAAAAAGGAAACCCAACTCAGTCTAGCTAACCAGTTTTCATTTAGACTATATGAGACCGATCTGCATTCTGATCGATGAGCCAATTGGGCCCTATTCAATATTTAACGTCACCGGGTGGGGTAAAAACAGTAGAGGCGAAACCCCGGCTACGCTACAGATTGCCACCCTTTCCCAAACGGATCGTTACAAATGCATCCGAAAATTCCAGTTGGAGGATAACATGGACTGGATATGTGCTGGCAGTGAAACGAGTGATGCCTGTGAAGGCGACTCTGGAGGGCCGCTAAGCGCATTGCGCATTTATCAAGGACAACGAAAGATCTTTCAGTTCGGTGTGATCAGTGGTGGCTTAGGTACTTGCAATGGCTTGGGATTTTACGCTAATGTGGCATACTTCAACAACTGGATCGCTGGTGTTATCCAGAATTTTAAAGATTTCAAATAACATGATTCTACCCCAGCTGTACGAATCTGTGTTGCCTAGCAAATTCCATATTTCGTTGGTATTTCATGTTATTAAGAGCTTTTGTGCATTAATTTGTTTCTTAATAATAAAAATATTTTTTGCCAAATAGGGAATAAAATAGAATTCAACCCGCTTTGTATTTTAAATCCGAGATATGTTAAATTATGCCTTAATTGTGTTTTAGTATATTCTTGTCAGCCCTTGGTATTTTATTTCAGTCACGCTGCGGTCGCACTTGTTGAATATTGTTGAAAAAGTGCTGCTAAATTTTAAACAAGCAATAGTTTCCTTAGGGAAAGAATCGGAAAGCCTAATAAAAGAGAAAAATATTTCCCTTCTCAAAATTGTTTATTCAAACAATTGAGAATAATAAAAAGAGAAAAAATATAGAGGAAAATAAAGAATCCATCTTAAAATAGCCAGATTTCCCGCCACCGACGATTTTTGACGGGATAATCGCGGAATCGGCAGTCCTGAAACAAACTTATAAACAAAAATATTCTCGTCAAATTGTAAAATGAGTAAATACTCCATTTTCAATGGAAACGATGAAGATGAAAACGAAACGGAACAGAAATATGCACACATTATCAGTACGTAAATTTGTTGCCCTGTTGGGTTTCTTCTAAAATCCGTTTCTTTCCTGACAGATCAGGCGAGTACGAAAAACTTGGTGGCGGAAAACAATTCCGAAAAAGCCGGTCGCTGCAAGTGGACAGACGGTGAGGTAGAGTTCTTTTTGGGAATAATTCACCAACTGAAGCTGCAAGCTCCACTGAAAAGAGCGCCCAGCAGTGCAAAGGTCTTCAGGGTTATTTCCCGGGAAATGGGCAGACGCAATTGTCACAAGAGCCCGAAGCAATTAAAGATTAAGTACCAACAAATGAGACGGCAATATACAATGGCCAGAAATGGTGGCGAGCCCTTTGAGCATTTCGAAGCAGTTCACGAGTTGATGCAAGGAGACGAAGGCTCCGATCTGGATGGACAGGAACTAGAAAGTGACAGCGAAGGGGAAGCCGACGAGGATCAATCCGGTATGATCACGGAAACCGAAGGCGATGGTAGGTAGAGTCACAATTGATATTATCCATTGGTCACACTTAAGATAAGTTAAGCATAACTTTAACTGTCATTCTTTCTCAGATGCCTTGGATGCCTCTGGATCGTCGATTAACATCGTTAGTCGTTGCAGGTGGGCCGAAGGCGAGGTGGACATCCTCCTGGACCTGATTCACTCAATGGGCTTGCGTACAGCTTTGCTTCGAAAACGCAATGCAAAGGTCTTTAAGTTGCTGGCCAAAGAGATGGCTAAGCGGAATTGTCACAAGGGTGCGGACAAGCTGCGCATCAAGTTCCAGTTGCTGCGCCGGATGTACAACAAGGCTAAGAACGGCGCCGGGGATACGTTCGAGCACTTTGAGGCTATGCGACAGGTCCTGGACCCCACCGAAGAGGAGGCGGCTGCCGCAGAGGCTGAAGCGGAAGCCAATCTCAGTAGTGCCAGCGATAGTGACGATGACAGTGACGACGAGGATGGTGATGCTTCTCAAAAAGGCGGAGGTAATACTTACGGAATATTACTCTTTTTCCAATATAATCTTAATTCATTTACTCAGCACACTTTTGGACTGATGAAGAGGTGGATTCTTTTCTACTCATTATTCGGGACAATGGATTTTTTCGGGCCTTGGATGGTTCAAGGAAACGTAACTTTCAGACCCTGGCACATATTTCCAATATCCTAGCCAAGCAGGCCATCAAACGCACTCCCCACCAGCTGCGCAATAAACTGAGATTGCTCTTCAAGCGGCATCGAGAGGCCAAGGAACACGGCTTGGATAATGTAAGGATTCTACCCCGCCACTTTGAGCTCTTCAATGAGCTCATTCAGGCACCGCGGGAAAACCGAAAGAGCGTCATTCCAAGGCCTACCCGCCATAACAAACCATCCCTTGCCAAGACGCAAGGCAACATGAATGCTCCGCTGGAGAGTGACAGCGAAAACTCAAGCTCTACCTGTGATCTCTTAAAAGCGGCTGTCAACAGTGAGGACTACGAGGATGCAATGGACTTGGAGGCTGAACCAACACCAATTGAAGCACTCACAGCCATCATAGAAGGTCAAAAGCAACTATTGACTCAAATCAAAACCGCCAACGAAAACTTCCTGCGACAGCAACACGAGCAGCAGCAACAATTTCTGCTACAAGTCTCCGATATGATGCGCCGAGACCGAGAGGAGACCCTGCGCAGGATCAGTGAAATGCTTTCCCCGAAATAATCAAAAGCCAACTCAAGCTTCTAAAACTTTTATTGAATTGAATTCGAAGTTATTGCAAAAAGTTTTCATTATTTATATATATTATATGTATGTATTCTATATTCAATATCGTGTATGGTGTTTTTGTGAGAGTGTCTCGTGTCTAAGGTTGTTTACTTCATTCATTGTGAACATAATTTTGGTTGAAGTTACTCGCAATTCGCAATTGTCTACGATTTATCTAGGTTTTTGTATATGTATATACGTAATTTTGAGAGTTCTTTCATTGTTATTTGATATGCTACATTTTTTATAGTATTCGTTATTCTTGGGATTAAGTTAACAGTTGGATTTACTTGTAGGTTTTAACATTAAGCGGAAATGCTCGTAATCTTTGAGTTTCGTTTTTGTGTTGTCTGTATACACATATGTATATTTTGTATGTTCGTTTTACAACAACTAAGCAAGCTCGTCATAAAATATGTGTGGCATTTAAAAAAAAAACGGGGATAGAGATAACTAAAATACTGCTGCTGATCTGATACGATCGGGCTTGATATATATATATTATGTCTGTATGTTCGTTACGTTACGCTCAGGCACAAAGTGTAAATTACAAATATCTCTCCGCGTCTCGAAAACCATAGGGAAACACAATCAATCAACGGATTCTCATTTTGGTGGTTAATTATTGCATTCATTACCAGCGGTGTGTGAGTTGCTTGTATTATCAATTTATCAATATTATTATTCGTTTTTGAGTTTTGTGGCTTTGTGTCTCTTGGAGCACGGCTGAAAGCTTGGCTTGACTTGGCTGCTGCTGCTGCTTTATATTTCTCTGTGTGTGTGGTAACAACAATAACAAGGTGTCTTTTTTGGAGATTATGTGGCTCTGCAGTAACAATCTAAGAGCTGACCGGCTCGGGCAGTGGGTTCTCGGTGATGCGTATCTTGTTGCTCTGGGTGCCGTAATACAGGGTGCCCGATGTGTCCGTGGTCACGTAGGCACGGTTGCCATTTCCGGTTCCTGCTCCGGTGCCACTTCCATTTCCATTCTCCAGATCCAGATCCTCATCGTCGCCGCTGCGATTATCCGCGTTGTTATTGTCCCCCTGGCCAGCGATGCTGCCAGTGCAATTGATTGCCGTCTCACGGAGCCGATTGCCTACCCGAAGACTCAACTGCCTCTGGCGATCCCGCTCCCTTTCCCGCTCACGTTCACGCTCCTCCATCGCCTGCTGCTGCTGCTCCCGGAAGTTGGCGAAGAAGATGGAGGAGTAGGTGTGGTATTTAGTTCCACAGGGCGAACTCGCTGGCGTGGACAGCGGCGTTGCTGTGGCAGTTTTTTAAGTGGTTGTTGTTGTTTTGGGGGGAAGGTAGTAGTAGTTTGGCTTTTGTTATTTACGTTATGTTACTTGAGAACATGTAAGTTGTTGGTTCTTGTTCTTGATGGGTGTTTTTCTTTATACACTTTCTAAAAGGCTTGGCTGCTGTTTTTGAGATGTTCGAGTGTGGTGTCGGTGTGTTTTTTTGCCTTGTTGCGGTTGAAATAATTGAGGTAGTGAGGTTTTTGGACCTATCATATGGAAACTGTGTCTATCTACTTAATCAAGACAAAAAGATGTTGTTACTACCTCTCAGATTACTATTCAACTTATAACATAAGGATTCATTCATCCGAAATAATCATTGAAGTTCCTAAATCTAGCGACGTTACTTATACGCCATGTGATCTTTTGTTTTGCCTTGTTTGCCTTTCTTTGCTGTAAAGCCTTTAAGTTATATTATATACTTGCTAAAGCTCCTAAGACCATACTTTTTAAATAGAAATTATATATATAAATTATTTTAGCTCAACCCCATCACTACCATTATTTAAACCGCAACTGCAGGAGTTTCTGTGTCTGTATGGTGCTTATTGGCATGATTCAAGATGAAAGCGGCGACAATCTGCTGCTGCTGTTGTTGTTTCTATTATTATATAATTATTGTTGTTTGTTGTTGTTCTAGCTGATGGACGAGATGGAAGGGGAGGGAGGAAGCTGGGCTGAGATATCGCGATGATCGATGATGTCGGTGATCGCGATTCGATGGCAGCATGGCATGCGGATGTTGATGTGGCGCCACCTGTTGCTGGGATTTGATGTTGCTGCTGTGACGATGTGACGACGATGTTGCTGCTGTGAAAAGAGACATCGCGACTCCCACTGGCATACATATAACCCTATATATGCCATATATGTATTTATATCTGATATATCGAATAGAGTCTGCACGCTGACCGTACCGTTATAATTCGAAATTCACGTTGTTCGTTTATTTGGAATTCTCAAATATACAACAAAAGCTTACACTTTCAATTTTCGTTTCGTTTATCGTTTTTCTCGACTTGCGTATGGTTAGTGTATGTAATTTGTATATAATAGCGTTGTCATGTACTCGTATGTATATTTGTATAGTGTGTATAAACTTATTGCTTCCGTACACTTAAGCTGTGTTGTTGTGGGTGGTGAAAGCAGCCCAACTTTAAAGGCGTGAGGATAAAAAAAAGGGTGGCACAACGTAATATAAAGGTCAAGGTATGTAAAGTACATATAAGCAATGCATTTATTTATGTAGACAACAAACAAAATGGAAACTAAATCTGTTGCTGCTTTCCACTTATTAGCTTACGAACTAAAAATCGTATTAATTACAAAAGAATGATTAAACATAAACATAAAAGAGCAACAAAAGAAAAATGTCAAAGGAAATCACAGAAGAGGAGAAACCGAACCAAGATTTTTCTGCCCTTAAAAGCAAAGCTGTAAACCATTTTTTCGAGTGGTAATAGTTCATTCGATCATTTTTGTTTTGTTTTGTGGGTATCGGGTGATTATCCAATTGCTCTCTCTCACTTTGCCCCCTTTAAATTGTGGGGAGCTCTGACGCTGCCGCTGCTGCTTCTGCTGCTGCTGCCGCCGCCACTGCCGTTGCTCTCTCTTTCTCTCGATTTCACTCTCCCTCCGCTCACTGCACACTGAGCTCAATTTGCGTTGAACTGCTCCGACTGGCCATTGAGATTTTGCGCGCCAACTTTTGCAGTGTGCCAACAGCTTTTGGAGGTTTTCAAAATGGTTTTCAATTGTTTGTGGTTGTTGTGGTAATAGTTTACGTTTTCGTTGTTGTTGTTCATGTTGATGATGTTGTATAGTTTGTTTTCAATTTGCGTGTAAATAAATAAAACAAATGAAAGGTCAAATAAATTAAAGAGTCATTCTAAACAAAAGGCGTGTGCGAGAGTGTGTTTGTTTTGTGGAGGAGAAATCAAAGAGCGTTAGAAAAGCGAAAGCGCATCAATTGCCCAGCTACCGAGGTTGCACTGTACTCTGAAGCAAATCTACTTTTAAGCAGGTAAGCTAATTGCACTATTCAACTTATTGAATCTTAAGGTGTTAAAGGTTAAAACATTTTGTAGAAGTATTTTTAATACATTTTAAAAATAAATATTAAACAACAAATTGCCAAATACACTCTAGAAGTAGTAAATATATAAACAGTAGGATATGAAAAAATTAATGAAAATCGAAGAAACTAAAACTAAATTTTTATAGCATACTTATAAGCAGCATCCAAAAAACCCGTTGTAACACCTTAAAAAACCAAAACTAACCCCACAAGCTGTGTATGTGTGTGTGTGTGTCTATAATTTTAAGCTCTACTTTGCCTATATATTTGTATATACGAATGTTAATTTGAATTATTGTATTAATTAATTAGCTAAATGCATTCCAACTAGATTTCGGGTTTTGTTTTTTGTAATTTTTGTTGGGTATTTTACTGCTGCTGGGTGCTGCGGGTGGCAGATCATCCTACTGAGGTTTCTCGGACACTACGATACCAGGTGCGATTATGTGTGTGTACAAATATACATACATACCATAACACGATTATTGTATTTAGTTGTTTTTTTTTTCGAAATTATATAGAACGCGCAGTTGCATTAGGTAAGTTGTTATTTTGATTTGTTGATTTTGATTTTGATTGGAGGGAGATTAGAAAACCAATTTCGAAACGAAAAGAAAATCAGGATTAGAAGAGAATTGAATAGAGAACGGAGGAGTCGTAGGTGAATGCAGCAGAGACCGAGTCGATGGATGGGATTGCATTGGCCATGGAATCGAATGGAGGTCGCGTGTGCAAGGTCATGGAATTATGGAGGTGCGGGATTTGAGATTTTCGATCGATTGAAGTTGCAATTTCGTGTGGAAGATTTTGTTTGTATATATATTTTTTTTTCATTTGGATTCGTGTTGCGTGTTGTTCGGTTGTTTTTCGTATAATTTTTGTTTTAGCATTTTTTTTTTTTCATTTTTTGTTTGTATGTTGGTTTAGCAAAAACAAGCAGTTTTGGAGAAAGGAAAAAGAAATGAAAAACAAAGTAATGAACATCTTGAAATATCTTTTCTTGTTTTGTTGCTGTCGTGGATGCAAAAATCGTCTGTATTCTTTGGGGTAGGACCCCTAACTATAGTATATATCTATACAGGGGAAAAGTTGGGTGGGTTGAAAGGTTGGGTAAGGCAAGTATGTGTGTAGAAAGTAAACGCTTGATTTTCAACAACTTTTCGATTTTTATTTTGAAATACTTTGTTTGCGTACAAATACTTTGGTTTATAATCAACATAAATACGAACGAGTTTCAATGTCAATTTGGTTTGTTTCTTTTTTGTATAGTTTACCAATTTATAAATATAAAATTTTGAACAATCATTTTTGGTTTCGTTTCATTGCATCTCAAAAAGCTTTTGATTCTCAAAGATTCTCGTTTTAGGCTAAGATCAGGTTGGGGGTCAGGACCGTTTGTGTATTCTGCGTGTGCGTGTGTGTCTCTAAGGACAAAATCAGGGGCTACACTAGGAGCTTCTCCTGAGGGAAAACTGAACTGAACTGAACTGAACTGAATCTATAGAGGGGGAATCTTGCTCCGAACACGGAAGGGACTTCTAGATGAAGCTGCTCGACCGCGTGCAGTCCCAGTCGCCGGGTCTGAAGTACTTGGCTAAGACAGTTAGGTGGTTAAGTAGTAGTTTTGGTAGTTGCGGGTTAATAGATAGGGGGATTAGATAGAGTGGGTACAGTAGATTGTTGAGATTGTAGCAGAGATTGCTGAGGTTGTTCAGTTGTTGTAGCATTTGATGTTGCTGTTGTTCTAGTTGTTCTGGTTGTTGTGGTGGTTTTTGGTGGTGGTGTGTGCGGTGTTCTAACACTTACCGTAGCCCTCGCCCTGCAAGAAGAGCCGGAAGGCCTCGGCCAGCTTGGCCGGCTGCTCCTCCAGCACCAAAGCGCAATCGGAAATCTGCCAATCAAAGCAAACGCATTAGGATCAATGGGAAATCAATAGGAGTTCATACGCCTGCGGTCAGAACAATTGGACATGAAAGAAAGTCCCTCGCTCTAACCACATATGTATGAGACTCGAAATCATTAAGAACCTTCATCCACGATGAGTTTGTTGGGTCCAGGCGTCCGTTAAAGGTCACCGTATCGTCTACATGTGGCGACAGCGAACCCGTAATATTGATCACCGGCATCTTCAGCGTGGTGGCCGCCGTCTCGGTGCCGGGAGTTCCTGGCGGAGTGCGCGCCAGGTGCAGGTCGTTGCGATGGATGTACGCGTTGATCAGCATGGCTAGATTGGTCGGATTCACGCCTCGCTCAAAGTGCTGCTTGTACATCTGCACCAGGTCGTGGTTGCGCTCCTCCGGATTGCGCCCGAAATGGTGCCACATCAGGTAATCAATCACGCCCTGTGTCATGCCCTTGGTGCGTAAGAAGCGGGCATTGAAGCTCTGGTAACCCCACTCGATCCAGCCCGACTGCGTGGAGACACAGTTGATCAGGCACAGGGCGCCCACCTTGTCCGGATGGGCGTGGGCGAAACGTGCCAAGATATTCGCCCCAGCTCCAACGCCGAAACCAATCACCGACTTCAGACCAAAGTGGGAGAGCACGAAGAGTAGCTGAGCGGCCAGGTCATCCATGGTCGGATACACGTAGCTGTGGGTGAGGAGTAGAATTGTTTGAGATTCCTTGTAAAAACTTAACTAATTAAAGCAGAACTTATAAGGTAACATTTTACACTTTAAACACAAATGATAGCTTACTCCTCTGGCAAAGTTGGGGCACCCTCCTCCTGGCCGGGAGCAGTCACATGGTAAACACAGAAGTTCTCCAGCAAACCGCGCATCACTGGAAAGTTGAAGAAACCAGCAAAGCTGGTGGCATCTAAAGGGGATAGATCATTTGATTAAGATATATCTTTGACTAGAATATTGAACCACTCACAGTTCAGGCCCAAATCGTGGTAGGTGACGATGGCCGGCTTGGCCGTGTCGCCCTGTATGGCCACGTGGACATCGCCCTTGTCTGTGGGCACACGCCGCTGTTCGCAGGCCTCCAGGATGGAGCCGCGGGCATTGGGGAATTGCAGCTGCACGGAGCGCAGTTCGATGTCATCCATGGGATCAACGGGCATGGTGCTGTTGGGATTGACAAGAAAAGTAAGTTAGTAAACTGCGGATCCCTGCAACCTGGTACAACATCTTGTTTAGTGGGATTTTTTGGCGGCGGCGGCGGCGGCAGCAACAGCAGCAGCAAGGCTAGCTGTTCATTGACTGGCATCCTGTGAGTTTTTGTGTCTGTGTGAGTCGGGAGGATATGCATCCTGGTTACGGATCTCATCTAGAGGCTAAGAGGCTAAGAGGCTACTTGATCGGTGGGAATATTCAGGCATGAGTTGATCTCGCCGCTCTCCTCTACCTCTACTCTATAGCTAAGGTTTGTATGTATGCAAAACTCAAACAAATCAAGACGAAAAGTATCGGTTAATCAACATTCGGAGAGGCAGAACAATTTGGGATGCTGTTACGGGGTTTAGTTGTAAAACTCAAGTCTAGGCAAGTACTTACAGGCTAATGGTTGTAATCTTAACAATACTAGTACTCGTAAATCAAACGCTATGTGAAAAGTTAATGAATAAAGATAACGCAAGATAAAACGAAACGAAAAACTCCAAACGTGTGTGTTGTTGTGAGAGTGTTCTTGGGTGTTTTTATATTATTATTTTTGATTTTTTCAACTGAGTGGCGTTTTTGTGTTGTCGTGTGTGGCATATATATCTTACATATTCGGAGGGGTCTGGGGTTCTTGGGGGGCCTAATTACACTGATCCCTGAGAGGTTTTTGTTTACTTTGTTTTTGGTTTTTGCTTACCCCAGCAGGTGTGCCTCCTCGGCAGTGTGTGTTGGAGCTGACGGCATCTTGGTGGTCAGTGTCTTACCGGATTTGTCGCGGTCTCTGAAAGAGATTCTATGAGCAT